AGAATGTCTCCGTAGCGTCTTTACTTTGGATGATCTTCAAGAAGAGTTAACAAAAATAGGCTTTACCTTGAATAGAAGTGGTTTTTACCTTCATCTTTTACCGCGACGTGGAATCACTTCTCAAGGAAAAAAACATGTCAACCCAGTTCCAGTAAAAGTATTATGTCCAGAACACTCAATACGAAAAAAAAAATGACGACAGAATGTTTTCCAAATCATTCATTGATGACATGTTTGAAGTTTGCAAATTTTTTGGACCAAAAGCTTTTATTTCCAACGATAAAGCCAGGATCCCATTGGGTCTTGCTGCAGCAAGCCTTCAAGCATTGTTGCTGATGCATATGGAATACAAGGTCAAACTCATGGCTCAGGATTTTGTCTTTAGCCCACAGCACAAATTGATCCCATAAGTGTATGGCGTATGTGAAGTTAACAAAACTAGAAATGTATCTTACAGTAGAGACTCTTTCATACGCATAAGAAGTGCTGATGATACCTTAAATGCTTTTACACATGCCTTTGATCTTAGAGAATTTTTTAAAACCAAGTTGGTTAAACGTAGACCAATTATGTTAATGGAGACTCATGGAACTTAGGATGAGGCACCATGCTTCCCTAAAACTTTAGCAACTGCTGTTGACCTTTTCTACTTGCTTAATTTAGATGCGTTTCTTCATGGTGTGAATACAGCTGGCGTTTCAGCCTTTAACCCTGTTGAAAGAAAAATGACACCTCTTTCTCATGATTTCGCTGGAATAGTTCATCCTCATAGTTTTTTTGGGGAAATGCCTTTTCCCAAAAAAAATTATGAATCACCTTTATTCTTCTGGAAAAAACAATCGACCATGAATTGGAGGTAGAGAACTTTCAAAAAGCGGCTGACGTTTTACCCCAAGATTTGGAGAAAATGATCATTGATAGATATCCTGTTCATTGCCAGGTTGTACCAGTTGGGGAAGCATATGAACCGCCAACTGCTGATCGTGTTTGAGTAGACAAACATTGTCAGCCATCTTAATACAGCCTACAAATCGTAAAATGACAAGAAGAGTCATGTTGCAAACAGTCTGAAAAACTTTCCTTAACGTTTCATTCCATTTCCGGTCATCTACTAATACTGAAAGAATGGTTAGAAAACAATGAAACCGTCTCAATATTTTAAAAACGTATCAAACCAATCAATGTTTGCACCACTGATACTGAGAAAGATTAAAATTATACCATTTGATCTGTGTTGCCCATCGTTAAAAGAAAAGCTCTCAAACGGGTTTTGCAACAAGTGCAATAAATACTGGCCTAGCAAGGCTGCAATGAAACGGCACAAGAAAGCACACGCACTCAAAAAAAAAAGATTGAAATGGAGAGTGAAGATAGCGTAAGTGAGAGTGAATCTATTAATAAAAGTGAAGATATCAGTGAGGAGATAATAAAAATGTTGAATCAGAGTTCATGCCTCTATTTAATAACATGTTTGATTTATTGAAGTCATCATTTGTGGAAATATAAAATACTCGTCACAAGAATCCTTTTTTAGAATATTTTTCTTTACGTTAACAAAAACCGGAAAGTTATTAACAAATAACTTTCCGGTTTTTAATTAAGCACAGAGAAATTAACTATATGTTTTTTTGTGTTTAATGTTTTGAAAAATTTATGCGTTGAGGAAAAGGGAGGGGGGCTTGAATTTGTAATAAATAATGCATACGTACGCAGGGATGGGGAGGGCGTTGAAAGCATACAAGTGCGTACAAGGGGTTAGGGGATCTTAAATCAGTGGTTTTACTTCATACGTATTTTATGGATGCCCCCTCAGAAATGCCAGAAATTACGCGTAATCATCCTAATTTACCTTTTCATGCTACACAACAGCAGTGTTGAATTTCGCGCATGCGTATAAGAGATATTGCGTTTTATGTGTTTTTTGAACCAAAAAATTTTTAGTGAAGAAAAAATTCCTCTTTACTTCACTAACAAATATGTTGTTTTTATGAAAAAAAAAGATTTTTCCAACTCGTCAATATTACAACACACCTAACTCGTCAGTATGCCATCATAGGAAGAAGTCATCAATTTTATTTAAACAAGCTGTCTGCCTTGTTCAAAAGATAAAGTTAAAATAAGTATTCCACTAAATACACAAAACTCGAAAATAAAATGCATGAACATTTCATTTTTGCACAGTTAATAATAAAATCACAATCTTAAATATATAAAGGAATTAAAAATACAACAGCGCATCCCAAAATCGATTTTTGTTGATTATAAAAGCAATATTTGTGCAAGTGATGTGTTTTTACTAAAAGTAATTCAAAGTCAGTATAAATATGTAGGTCTAATCACTTTTTTGCCATAACCAATATTTATGAAAATATGACCGGTATGTCATCATAGACGCTATGCCATCATAGGCGCCTTTCCCCTAGTATTGTTAAAATATTAAAATCTTTTACTATGTTTTGTTTTTATTCAAAAAGCAATTAAAACCGCTGCTATTTTAGGACTTTAAACTAGTAATTTCAACGAAAAAACACTGGGTAATTTGAGCATGCTCATAGTACACAAAAATGGCATCTTTAAATAAAGTCAAAACTAAATGTTTCAATGCATTGTTTTTCAAACAAAAATGGATTGGATTTTTAGCTAACCTATTTTTCTTTATGAAAAATTTAATTTTATTATTTTAACGGCAAAATATTGCGCCACAGATTTATTATTTTAACAACGCAAAAAATTTAACAGCGTTTTAATTAGATGATACCCGCTAATTACTGTATATAGATTTAAGGTTATTTTCCACTCATTCGTTTTTCTACGGGAAAGAGAAAGAGAACGGAAAAATAATCACGTGAGCATGCGCAGTTTCCTTACGGACAAGTAAAAACTTTTATTACGCATGCTCACGTGATTATTTTTCCGTTCCCTTTCCCTTTCCCGTAGAAAAACGGATGAGTGGAAACTCACCTTTACGCTAATTGTACTGATTCCTGTTATCACCACATAAAGTCGATTTAAAAAATGCAAAGCTTTAAACTTTAACTTCACTTATATTAAACTTTAACTTCACTGCTTACATTTAAGAAATCTTTAAGTATGCTCATATTACTCTAATCTACCCTATATATATATATATATATATATATATATATATATATATATATATATATATATATATATATATATATATATATATATATATATATATATATATATATATATATATATATATATATATATATATATATATTAGGGCTGTACCGGATTTAATTTTTCCAAATCCGGCCTGAGCCAGATTTGCCGGATTTTTACTAACAGATCCGGCCGGAATCGGAGCCGGAGCCGGATTTTGAAGCAAAACTACAGGAACCAAAATCCTGTATATCCCTACTTGGTGTTGAAAATGGTCAACAATGTTGACTATTTAGATCACCAAGTGACAGTTCCCGACGGGCATTTCTTTTTAAAAGTTACGATCTAAATGCTAAATGTCTTTTAAACGCCTTTTAAACATTAATGTTTAAAAGACGTTTAAAAGACATTTAAAACACATTCAGAACGCAACTTTTAAAAACAAATGCCCGTCGGGTTGTTTTCTATTAAACATCATTTTTGTTGTTTAAAAGTTTTATAGCAATTTCTATAGAATTTAATAGACATTTTATATAAATTTTATAGAGTTTCTATAGGCCATATGTTTCAAAAATTTAGAGAAATTCTACAGAACTTTTTTTCCCGGGATGTTGTCACTCCGCCACTGTAGTGAATCAGCGTGTCTATATATTTCTGATTCTTCCAGATATTGGCTTAGCTGAGTGTCAATGCCTGTTGGTAATTGTTGTTCATGTGCTGTGCCACAAGCGGGCGTAGACTGAATAATTTCATCTATATATATTGCCATTGTAATGATGATATTGTATAAGAATTATCCAGCCGGGATTGTTTTGCTGGATTTTCTTTATTTTTTTCAATCTAAAAAGGTTTCTCCTCAATGCCTTTGCTCATCTAATGAGTTGATTAGGATTGACTTCATAGTCTTTACACCTGCATTATTGCAGAATATCGTGTGTCTTCTCTTCAGAATTTTTTGTTGCGTTCTTGTTTGAAATTAGGCTTAGCTAATTAAATTGTAAAAAAATGTAAATACAGATACCAAACAAACATGAAGTTCAAAAAATAAGTATTATGTATACATGTTATCACGGGTAAGAAAGATGAAATAAACATCCAGAAATCCGGCCAAAATTATGCCGGATTTGCTAACATTTTGCCGGGGCCGGATTTGTAAAAATGGCCGGATTTCGGCCGGAGCAGGAGCCGGAGCCGAAATTCGGTACAGCCCTAATATATATATATATATATATATATATATATATATATATATATATATATATATATATATATATATATATATATATATATATATATATGTGGATATCTACCCCCCATAAAGGAAGCACATCCTATTATATCCTCGTCAGTTCCCTATGTTGCATTTTTAAGCAATTTATTATCACAAACTATCATGCATCCTAATAAATAAATCTTTATACAATATTTAAATACCTAATAATTTCCTCATGTATCTCGTTGCGCATACAGTTAGAAAATATGGGAGTAAAAATTAAATGAGTTTTACTGGGGAAATAAACGCGGGAGTAAAAATGGCATACTACACCGATTTAGGTAAATGTAAATCCGAAATCCCGGGATTGCTGGATTGCTGGAAGCAACAGTTGATTCTTTAATCAACTGTTGCTTTCAGCTTTGTTAAAAAATGTTTAAAAAAGTATTTATAATGCTTTTTGAATAATACATGGTTAATAATCACAAGTATTTTCAAACAATTTTTTAACGTTATAAGTTTTTTATTTATTCTTTGATTGATGAAAATAAAAAAAGTCATTTTATTAAAAATAAACATGCAACTTTTCATTAATTGTTTTAATTATATTTATAATCAAATAAATAATCAAATAAATTTATATATTGTACAATTTTTTTAGAGACAAAGTGGATAACTATCCAACAGTTTACTGTGGTTGCGCCTCTCCAATCAAGTTTGTTGACACGCTTTACAAAGCTGAAATTCCTGTTCCAAAGTATTTCACTGAATATGTTCATAATAAAGAGTTGAATGATGAATACTGTCATGCTTGTCCACCTAAAAAAGAAGATTGGTGTAACTACCTTTTAGATTACATTTCAAACAAAATATCAGAAAGTTTTAAATAGCTGGTCTGTGTTTGGAGATTATGGTTTATTGGTACTTGGTCTGTACTGGTGTTACATATATGGTGTTTTAAGAACATCCTAATTGCACTTTATATTTGCGGTTTATATTTGTAAACAATTATAACAATCATTTTAATAATAATTATAAATATTTATATTAATGAATTGTTTTTTTTTTCCAGACGAGAGATTTAGTTCTTAAAATGTTGTTTTCTTCACACACTGTAAAATTGACAATCATTCTCATCTGAAAATAGCTGGTGTGTCTGTTGACAACCATTTTCATCTGAAAATAGCTAGTGTGTGTTGACAACCACTCTCATCTGAAAATAGCTGGTATGTGCGTTGACAACCATTCTCATCTGAAAGGATCGAAAAAAATATTTTAGAGTTGCATCATAGAAATCTTGTGAATATATTCAGAGATGTTTCTGTGATCAAATTTTTTTTGCGATTTATACCCAACTCCTACTGATAAAAGTGTTTTACGTTTCTAAATCAGGGGGATCTAAAAATTACGTGCTATAAAGTTTAAATTCCATCGCTAAATTTTAGAAGAAAAGATGCATTTTCTTCGCAAAGAGTTTGCTAGGATTGTGTAAAAACTTAAGGATATTCTGTTCCGAAGTCCTAATTTAATTAGGACTTCGGAACAGAATATCCTAAAGTTTTTACACAATCCTAGCAAACTCTATGTGAAGAAAATGCATCTTTTCTGCTAAAATTTAGCGATGGAATTTAAACTTTATAGCACGTAATTTTTAGATCCCCCTGATTTAGATTTAGATGTTTTTGAAAAACACTTTTCTAATTAAATTAGAAAAGTGTTTTTCAAAAACATCTTTGGACACTACTTTAAACAAACTTAACGAAGCTTGCCACATTCCTTAAAGTTATCTTGAACACGCGCAAAAAAAAAAGTTTCCTCTACTTTAGTAGTTAATAAAATTTCTACCTTTAGATAGGATAAATGAACACCCTTAATAAGGCATAATTAATTAAATATCATATCTTAAAGAAAATTATATGAAAAATGATAATGATATAATTTTCTACCTTATATAATTTTCTACCCTATCAAAAACCAATTGAGTAACAAATACCATTACTTCAGGTAACTCTAACAAACGAATGACTTTAACATTACTGGCAACTCTTTATTGACTAATATTTTTAATAACCATTTCATAAACGTTGCAGTGCCATCTGGTAGTACAGACTTCATACATTCGTCTTTATTTTCTTGCTCTATAGACCCAGTTGATGCAGCTATCAAAAATAAAATATTTAAATAAAATATTGCCGATTATGTAAGTGGAATGTCACTTTTTTGTGACATTCCACTTACATAATCGGCAATAATTTTCTTTCTTAGTTCCAATCCAAGACTGTCAGGAGCCATTTTTGCACTTGAAGTCATATAAATAATAAAAATAAATAATCACGCTTCTCAAGGCTTTCCGTGTTACATTTACCTTGTGTTGATACAATAATGCTCTGCGGAACACAACGTCTTGGTTGGATGTGGACTGTATTGATGTAATGAAACACTTGTTGTATTTTACTTCTTGTATTAATGTTCTTCGATAAAATACTTTGATAAAACTCATTTCGATAAACTGTCTTGATAATACTGACTGATTGACTTCCATATACTGACTGAATTACATATCGGTTTACATTTCTCTTATATAGTAAAACGAACCTGTGTGAACCTGTTCTGGAAAATTCTAGATGCTTCTTTTCGATGCTTCTGGAAGTTTCTGGATGCTTCTGAATGTTTCTGGATACTTCTGGATGCTTCTGGATGCTTCCAGATGCTTCTTCTGGAAGCTTCTGCATGCTTCTGGAAACTTCTTGAAACTTCTGGATACTTCCTTTAATTATTAAAAAACCTCCGTGACGTTGACACGGACCAGACTTAAGAAAATGAAACAAACCAAAATAGTTGCACTTGTTTTGTCCGCTGCAAAATGGCACTTGTCAACGAAATTCTGCCTGTGTGCTGTCACCTGTCAGCTGATTGCTCATGTCATGGCATGCTATGGCTCCAGACTCCTGAACTGTTTGCTGTGGTAGTATAGTTCGTTTCGTTTTTAAAAAATGTAAAATGAGGAACACTTTTTAGCATTGTTCGATGTTGGTTGCAAATGTTTTGTCCAATACTGTACCAACTTTTATGTTAAAATCTTACAGATTGCACAAACAATAGTATCCATGATGGTAAACTCCTGTAATTTCTGCAAATGGCTGATGTTATACCATGTTTTAAGAAGAATGACCCAACTGAAAAGTCGAATTACTGTCCAATTAGTATTTTACCAGCCCTTTCTAAAGTTTTTGAAACTATTTTATATGAACAAATCTTGATATTTATTGAGCTTAATAAACGCAAAAAATCTATAAAAATTAGGTAATATTTTGTTTATGCCTCCGATAAGATAAAATTACTTGGTATAACAATTGATAAAGATCTAAAGTTTGGGGAACACATTAAACAGTAAAGCTAATGGTAAATATTTTGCTCTTTCACGCTTAAGAAATTTTTTATCCCGTGATAAATCTTTTTTGCTGTTTAATGCTTTTATTTTGTCTAATTTTTCTTATTGTCCTCTAATTTGGTTGTTTTGTTCAAAAAAAGATGACAAACAAATAAATCGAATTCACAAAAAAGCTCTAAGTATAGTCTATAAAAGGTTTAATTTGTCTCTGGATGAATTGTTAAAATTTGATAATAGTCCAAGAATCCATCTAAGAAGTTTAAGGATTTTTATGATGAAAGTTTTTAAATCTATTAATTGCCTAAATCCAATATTTATGAAAACTCTTTTTACTTTAAAAATCTTACGTATAAACTCCGTTATAGCAAAAAACTCATTCTACCTCTTAAAGGCTCCACATATAATTCATGCTTACGTTATATAGAGCCACCTCGCCCTGGAACACTCTAAATAGTGATGAGACCATGTCCGCAAAAAGTCTTGAAGTTTTCAAAAAACATATCAAGAATTGGTATGGTAATAATAGTGTTTGCAAAATTTGTATACGAAATTAAATTAAAAATCGTTTTTCAAATTTCGTTAAATTTTATACTGACATACCTTTAGCTAAAATTGTATTATTATAATTTTTTTTTCTTTTTAATTGAAGCAATTGTAAATTTTAAATGGCATTTTTTTTTTTAAACTTTTTTTTATGATATTTATATGAGTGTCTACTGAGTTAAAGTTAAATGTGTTGATTTAAATTAGTTTTAGTGTTAACTAAAACTATCTTGTAAAAATCAACATGAAATAAAGTTTTTAAATCAAATTAAATTACTTAAAGTAGACTTTACAATTGATGTTTACTTCTTTCGTAGAATTAATCTAAACGGCAGAAAAAGCATTTTTTGAAAGCTTATACAGCTTCAAGACATTTCAAATTTTATATGTTCATATATCGAATCTCGGATGTCATGATGCTGAAGCAAGCGCTCTAACCAGCGTCGCGGCTTCAATATATTATATTGAAGCCGCGATGTTGTGTAAATCAAAAAGGTTTAGCTTAGTCAAAATTAAAATATCTAGACAAATAGAGAAAATAAATAGACAAATACGTTGTCCGGGCCTTTTTAGCAGGAAAATTTGAAATAGCGTTATAGATTTTGCCAATAACGTTTCATATTTCATAAGCAAATTTATTAGCTAAATCTTATGGAAAGGATCATCAAGTATAACAATTGGTCCTAACCCATTATAAAACGGTGATAGTCCTTAATTATAGCCAGCTTTATAGATTCAAACATGCAATGTTAGAAAAACTCTAACTTTGGAAAAATACTAAACGCAGTCTTTTTGCATAAGCTTCAATAAGAAGTTCAAAAGGCTTTTTGCTGGCTAGAAAGTTCTTCTTACGGAAAAAAAAAAATCAAAACATCAGAAAGTTTTTTTTAATTTAGTCTTCTGGCTAGAGATTCGCAAGATTTTTAGCTTTTATTAAACATAGTTCTTTATCTGTTAGAGATTTAATTTTCTTAGGTCTTCGAAGTCCAGAGGAAAAAAGACTTGTTGCATTCTTCTTTAATTAGTTTAAAAAAAAAATTTATAGCTTTTTGTGGTTGCAACCAGCAGTTTCATCAGCAAAAAATATCTCTTTTGCGTTCCCTTTCCAAAAAACATGATTTAATATAATTTATTTTTTTTTCATTTTCTGTTGCCTCAATCAAAATAAGACTCCATGACAAACAGAATTATCTAGATTCGTCAAAAGACCATTTAGAACCTTCGTTTTATCAACTACAGTGAGTTGAGTAATTGAAGAAGAAGACTAGCGTCGTTAACTATCATCATGATGGCAGTTAACAACGCTAGTATTTTTTTGCTATAGGCTTGACCGCATAAATTCTTGAGCTGCATCGCGTAAAAGAAAGTTCATGTAAAATATCATATGATAGTCTTTTCTCTTCCTGAAAAAAATTCTAATAAACTGAACTGCGGTTTAACAAATTTTATACATTTTATTATTTTCGAAAAAGAATTTCAATCGAGCTAATGATTTAATAGAGTGTTCACTACATAAGTTTAAACTGAGCAAAAAACGAAAATTACTATTGATTTATTGGCAATTCAAAGCTTGAGCTCCATTGTAGATACCTGCCATATTATCTCCATTGTTGTAGCTTTAACCACGACAATTTTAAATGTCAAGCACATTCTTTTCCAACACATTCAATACTAACTTTGAGCAGCCGTGGCGCAGTGGTTAGAGTTCTGGCTCAGAACCCAGAGGTCCGAGGTTCGATGCCAGCTACAGCCCAACAAGCGACATTGGTACGGAAGGAGGCGTGAACTACCCGTTAAATGCTCACCCGCGGTGCTCTATGATAAGACCGTAAGGACTTCTGGGAGCACCTAAATACATACAAAAAAAAAAAAAAAAAAAAAAAATTTTCTATCAGCTCGCTACTTCTTTTCAAGGTTTTTTAGCTTAAGAAACCTTTTTCTGACCTCCTTATGACTTAACAGTTAAATATTTTTCTTGTTGTACGATGAATCAAGAGTGCTGTAATTGAAGTGGAACAAAGGTTTCTTATTTTATCACACAAATTCTCAAACTAAATATTTACCGCACCCTTAATAAACTTATTGTGTGATTTCCAGGATAAGTAATGAGCTTGAAT